GATAGTTTTGCCTAGATTTTCTCCTAGGGTTTTTAATGGTGCCAGGTCTTACGTTTAAGTCTTTAATCCATCTGGAGTTAATTTTAGTGTAAGGTGTCAGGAAGGGGTCCAGTTTCTGCTTTCTGCACATGGCTAGCCAGTTTTCCCAACACCATTTGTTAAACATGGAATCCTTTCCCCATTGCTTTTGTCAGGTTTATCAAAGATTGTATAGTTGTATGTATGTTGTGTTGCCTCCGGTGCCTCTGTTTTGTTCCATTGGTCTATATCTCTGTTTTGGTACCAGTACCATGCTGTTTTGATTACTGTAGCCTTGTAGTATAGTTTGAAATCCAGTAGTGTGATGCCCCCCGCTGTGTTCTTTTTGCTTAGAATTGACTTGGCTATGTGGGCTCTCTTTTGGTTCCATATGAAGTTCATGGTGGTTTTTTCCAGTTCTGTGAAGAAAGTCAATGGTAGCTTGATGGGGATAGCGTTGATTCTGTAAATTACTTTGGGCAGTATAGCCATTTTCACGATATTAATTCTTCCTAACCATGAACATGGAATATTTCTCCATCTGTTTGTGTCCTCTCTGATTTCGTTGAGCAGTGGTTTGTAGTTCTCCTTGAAGAGGTCTCTTACGTTCCTTGTGAGTTGTATTCCAAGGTATTTTATTCTTTTTGTAGCAATTGCGAATGGCAGTTCGCTCTTGATTTGGCTTTCTTTAAGTCTGTTATTGGTGTAGACGAATGCTTGTGATTTTTGCACATTGCTTTTTTTTTCCTGAGACTTTGCTGAAGTTGCTTATCAGTTTCAGGAGTTTTTGGGCTGAGGTAATGGGGTCTTCTAGGTATACTATCATGTCGTCTGAAATAGAGACAATTTGGCTTCCACCTTTCCTATTTGAATACCCTTTATTTCTTTTTCTTGCCTGATTGCTCTGGCTAGAACTTCCAGTACTATATTGAATAGGAGTGGTGAAAGAGGGCATCCTTGTCTAGTGCCAGATTTCAAAGGGAATGCTTCCAGTTTTTGCCCATTCAGTATGATATTGGCTGTTGGTTTGTCATAAATAGCTTTTATTACTTTGAGATACGTTCCATCGATACCGAGTTTATTGAGGGTTTTTAGCATAAAGGGCTGTTGAATTTTGTCAAATGCCTTCTCTGCGTCAATTGAGATAATCATGTGGTTTTTGTTTTTGGTTCTGTTTATGTGGTGAATTACGTTGATAGACTTGCGTATGTTGAACCAGCCTTGCATCCCCGGGATGAATCCTACTTGATCATGATGAATAAGTTTTTTGATTTGCTGTTGCAATCGGCTTGCCAATATTTTATTGAAGATTTTTGCATCTATGTTCATCATGGATATTGGCCTGAAGTTTTCTTTTCTTGTTGGGTCTCTGCCGGGTTTTGGTATCAGAATGATGTTGGTCTCATAAAATGATTTGGGAAAGATTCCCTCTTTTTGGATTGTTTGAAATAGTTTTAGAAGAAATGGTACCAGCTCTTCCTTGTGTGTCTGGTAGAATTCGGCTGTGAACCTGTCTGGACCTGGGCTTTTTTTGTGTGGTAGGCTCTTAATTGCTGCCTCGACTTCAGACCTTGTTATTGGTCTATTCATAGTTTCAGCTTCCTCCTGGTTTAGGCTTGGGAGGACACAGGAGTCCAGGAATTTATCCATTTCTTCCAGGTTTACTAGTTTATGCGCATAGAGTTATTTGTAATATTCTCTGATGATGGTTTGAATTTCTGTGGAATCTGTGGTGATTTCCCCTTTATCATTTTTTATTGCATCTATTTGGTTGTTCTTTTATTTTTAATCAATCTGGCTAGCGGTCTGTCTATTTTGTTGATCTTTTCAAAAAACCAGCTCTTGGATTTATTGATTTTTTGAAGGGTTTTTCGTGTCTCAATCTCCTTCAGCTCTGCTCTGATCTTAGTTATTTCTTGTCTTCTGCTGGGTTTTGAGTTTTTTTGATCTTGCTCCTCTAGCTCTTTCAATTTTGACGATAGGATGTCAATTTTGGATCTCTCCATTCTCCTCATATGGACACTTATTGCTATATACTTTTCTCTAGAGACTGCTTTAAATGTGTCCCAGAGGTTCTGGCACGTTGTGTCTTCGTTCTCATTGGTTTCGAAGAACTTCTTTATTTCTGCCTTCATTTCATTGTTTACCCAGTCAACATTCAAAAGCCAGTTGTTCCGTTTCCATGAAGCTGTGCGGTTCTGGGTCTGTTTCTGGATTCTGAGTTCTAACTTGATTGCACTATGGTCTGAGAGGCTGTTTGTTATGATTTCAGTTGTTTTGCATTTGTTGAGCAGTGCTTTACTTCCAATTATGTGGTCAATTTTAGAGTAGGTGTGATGTGGTGCTGGGAAGAATGTGTATTCTGTGGATTTGGGGTGGAGAGTTCTGTAAATGTCTATCAGGTTTGCTTGCTCCAGGTCGGAGTTCAAGCCCTGGATATCCTTGTTGATTTTCTGTCTGGTTGATCTGTCTAGTATTGACAGTGGAGTGTTAAAGTCTCCCACTATTATTGTGTGGGAGTCTAAGTCCTTTTGTAAGTCCTTAAGAACTTGCCTTATGTATCTGGGTGCTCCTGCATTGGGTCCATATATGTTTAGGATCGTTAGCTCTTCTTGTTGTATCGATCCTTTTACCATTACGTAATGGCCTTCTTTGTCTCTTTTGATCTTTGTTGCTTTAAAGTCTATTTTATCAGAGATGAGAATTGCAACTCCTGCTTTTTTTTGCTCTCCATTTGCTTGGTAAATCTTCCTCCATCCCTTTATTTTGAGCCTTTGTGTATCCTTGCATGTGAGATGGGTTTCCTGGATACAGCACACTGATGGGTTTTGGATTTTTATCCAATTTGCCAGTCTGTGTCTTTTGATTGGTGCATTTAGTCCATTTACATTTAGGGTTAATATTGTTATGTGTGAATTTGATACTGCCATTTTGATGCTAAGTGGCTGTTTTGCCTGTTAGTTGTTGTAGAGTCTTCATTATGTTGATGCTCTTTATCATTTAGTGTGATTTTGGAATGGCTGGTACTGGTTGATCCTTTCTATGTGTAGTGCCTCTTTTAGGAGCTCTTGTAAAGCAGGCCTGGTGGTGACAAAATCTCTGAGTACTTGCTTGTTTGCAAAGGATTTTATTTTTCCTTCACTTCTGAAGCTCAGTTTGGCTGGATATGAAATTCTGGGTTGAAAGTTCTTTTCTTTAAGAATGTTGAATATTGGCCCCCACTCTCTTCTGGCTTGTAGTGTTTCTGCCGAGAGATCTGCTGTGAGTCTGATGGGCTTCCCTTTGTGGGTGACCCGACCTTTCTCTCTGGCTGCCCTTAGTATTCTCTCCTTTATTTCAACCCTATTGAATCTGACGATTATGTGCCTTGGGGTTTCATTTTTTCTTATATATGTCATTTTTCTCTGGCTTTTAGAATTTTTTGTTTTAAACAATTTGATTATGATTTACCTGGGAATAAATTTATTTGGGTTTATCCTGTTTGGGGTTCTGAGCTTTTTAAATCTGTAAGTTCATGTCTTCTGTCAAACTCAGGAAATTCCAAATATTACTTCTTCAAATAATTTTTTGGCCCTATGGTCCCTCTTTCTTTGGTATTACAATGACATGAATGTTAAATTTTTCTGTTATTATTTCCACAGGTTTTTGAGGCTCTGTTCTTTTTTCCCAGTTCCAGTCTTTTCCCCTCTCTGTATACTGGATAGTTTCTTTTATTCTCTTTAAGACAGAATCTTGCTCCATAACCCAGGCTGGAGTTCAATGGCATGATCTCAGCTCACTGCTGTCTCCGCCTCCTGGGTTTAAATGATTCTTGTGCCTCAGCCTCCTGAGTAGCTGGATTACAGGCATGTTCCACCACACCCAGCTAATTCTTACTGTTATTGTTAGTAGAGATGGAGTTTCGCCATCTTGGCCAGGCTGGTCTCAATCTCCGGGTCTTAAGTGAACTGCTACCTCAGCCTCCCAAAGTGCTGAGATTCACGGGTATGAGGCACCATGCCTGGTCTACACTGGATAATTTCTACTGATTTATCTTCAAGCTCATTTACTCTTTCTCTTGTCACCGCCATTCTGTGATTGAGCCCATCAGGTTTTTTTGCTTTGGTAATTATATTCTTTGGTTAAAATACATCCATTTAATTCTTCCTTGCATCCTCTATTTCTTTTTTTTTTTTTTTTACCAGGAGGGTGGAGACCGTTATGAGGGTTTCCAACCACTCTGTGAGTTAAAAAATTTTTTTTATTTCAATAGTTTTTGGGGTACAGGTGGTTTTGGTTACATAGACAAGTTCTTTAGTGATTTCTGAGATTTTGATGCACCCATCACCTAAGCAGGGTACACTGTACCCAATGAATAGTCTTTTATTCCTCATCCCCTCCATCCTTCCCCCCAAAACCCCAAAGTCCATTATAGCATTCTTATGCCTTTGCATCCTCATAGCTTAGCCCCCACTTATAAGTGAGAACATATGATACTTGATTTTCTATTCCTGAGTTACTTCACTTAGAATAATGGCCTCCAGCCCTATCCAAGTTGCTACAAAGGCCATTATTTCATTCTGTTATATGGCTGAGTAGTATTCCAAGGTGTATATATACCACATTTTCTTTATCTACTTGTTGGTTTATAGGCATTTAGGTTGGTTCCATATTTTTGCAATTCCAAATTGTGCTGCTATAAACATATGTGTGCATGTGGCTTCCATATAATGACTTCTGTTCCTCTGGGTAGATACCCAGCAGTGCGGCTGCTGGTTCAAATGGTATTATTCTTTTAGTTCTTTAAGGAATCTCCATACTGTTTTCCATAGAGGTTATACTAGTTTACATTCCCACCAGTAGCCTAAGAGTGTTCCCTTTTCACCATATCCATGCCAACATCTGTTTACTTTCTGACTTTTACATTATGGCCATTCTTGCAGCAGTAAGGTGGCATCTCATGGTGGTTTTCATTTAGTTTCCCTGATAATTTACGTATTCTCTTTCTTTGTTGAGACTTTCTATTTTTCTGTTCATTTAAAAAGTGTTGGCCAGGTGCTGTAGCTCATGCCTGTAATTCCAGCACTTGGGGAGGCCAAGACAGGCGGATCACCTGAGGTAAGGAGTTCAAGACCAGCCTAGCCAACATGGCAAAACCCTGTCTCTTCTAAAAACACAAAAATTAGTCGGGTGTGATGGTGGGCACCTATCATCTCAGCTACTCAAAAGGCTGAGGCAGGAAAATCACTTGAACCTGGTGGGGGCAGAGGTTGCAGTGAGATTATGCCACTTCACTCCAGCCTGGGCGAAAGAGTGAAACTCCGTCTCGGGGGACAAAAAGGTGTTCACCATTACTTGTTGGAACACTTGGATAGGATAATAGCTACCTTAAAGTCTTTATCATATAATTCTAATATTGTTGTCATCTTAGCATTGATATCTTTTGGCTCGTCTCTCCCACATGCTCAATGGAATCTGAGATTTTCTTGGTTCTTCTTATAGGATTTTCCTGGTTCTATCTTACAGAATTATAACGTAGACATTTTGAATAGTATGCATGTCAGGGTCTTGCTTCAATCCTATGAAAATTGTTAATATTTTCATTTTAGCAGGAAACTGATTTCATTCATTAAGTTTGGGCTGTGAGTTCCCATGCACTTTGTGTCAGTTCAGCTGTCCAAACTTTTGCAGAGTTTTTTGAATCTGTCTCCTCTGTGCACTACTAGGTAGTCAATCTGGGTTCTGGGTGACAGTTATTTCAGTTCTCCATGTCTTTGGTATGTTGATTAGAATCAGACCCTTTCTTTCTATAGGCCCAGAAGTTCATAAACAACTTTTTTTGAGATAGTTTTCCTCTGTTGCTCAGGCTGGAGTGCAGTGGCATAATCTTGGCTCACTGCAATCTCTGCCTCCTGGGTTTAAGCAATTCTCCTGCCTCAGCCTCCCAAGTAGCTGGGATTACAGGTGTACGCCACCATGCTAGGTAATGCTTGTATTTTCAGTAGAGACGTGATTTTTCCATGTTGGCCAGGCTGGTCTCAAACTCCTGACCTCAAGTGATCCTCCTGCATTGGCCTCCCAAACTGCTAGGATTACAGGTGTGAGCCACTGTGCCCAACTCATAAATAACTTTATGGGGCCGGTTTCCCTAAGACTTTGTCTGTCATCTTCCTGGTACCTTCTAGTTGTCTGCAGGTAACTCCTGTTTTCATTTCTCCAGTCAGAAAGCTGTGTCTTTAGTTATTCAACTTCTCGTGTATTTTTATGACTGTACTCCAATTAGGATCAAAGGATAGGAAGAAAGAGAAAGAGAGAGGATCCAGGAAAGAGATTTCCCTCCCTTGGAGTTCTGGCTCCTGCTGCCTCTCATTGCAGCTTCTGGGTTACTTGAAGACTGATGCATGAAAGCATGAAGAAAAAAAACCAAAAGAAAGCCATGGGCATTTCTACATTTTCTCTGGGTGTTACCTTTGCTATTACTTGCTTCTCCTGGAGCTCTCTGTCTATAGCTTTGTGCCCACACTTGGTTTTAGGCTGTTTTGCATTCAGAGAGGGAAATATCAGGAGACAAAATGGCAAACTCATTGTTGATTTAAAGGTACTTGAGATCCAGTCTTGGCTAGGCATGGTGGCTCACATCTGTAATCCTAGCACTTTGGGAGGTCGAGGTGAGAGTACTGCTTGAGCTCAGGCATTTGAGACCAGCCTGGATAACACAGTAAGGCCTTGTCTCTATTAAAACAAACAAACAAAAAAAACTAGCTGGTCATGGTGGCAAGTGCCTGTGGTCCCAGCTACATGGGAGGCTGAGGCAGGAGGATCACTGTAGCCCAGGAGATCAAGGCTGCAGTGCGCCCTGATTATACCACTGCACTCCGCCTGGTTGACAGAGCGAGACTCTATCTCCCTGTCTCCAAAAAAAAAAAAAGGAAAACAAGAATCTGGTCTTCATCTTTAACCTACCTGCTATTGTTTACTTTTCAGAATTCATGTAACTGCTCCATACACGCTGTCCAGGTTTTACAGTTGCTTTCACTTGAGCGACAAGGAGAACTTTTCTTACTCCATCTTACCTGGAACTGAAATGCTGGTAGAATTTGATGCTAGGGTTTTCATCTTCTGACAATACTTCCCCAATCCATGTTCACAATTTTCTTTACAATCTAGATCAAAATTTATATATTCTAAGAAGCTTTACCTTACTATCTACTTTACCCTATCTCTCCCTCTTTTTTTTCTTTTTTAGACAGAGTCGCACTCTGTCACTCAGGCTGGAGTGCAGTGGCGCAATCTCAGCTTGCTGCAACCTCCGCCTCTCGAGTTCAAGCAATTCTCCTGCCTCAGCCTCCTGAGTAGCTGGGATTACAGGCACGCACCACCACACCCAGCTAATTTTTGTATTTTTAGTAGAGACAGGGTTTTACCATGTTGGTCAGGCTGATCTCAAACTTCTAACCTCGTGATTCACCCACCTTGGCCTCCCAAGATTCTGGGATTACAGGTGTGAGCCACCAAGCACAGCTTACCCTATCTCTTTACTAACTACTTTATCCTATCTCTTCGGCACTGATATATTAATTCTATATGTTGTTATATTTTAAGAACTGTTGTTTTGCTTCTAAAGTCTGTGCTTAGTTCTCCATATTCAAGCTGTATAAGGCAGAACCCATTGTTTCAAAACATTTTTTATTTCCCACATCCCAGACCAGGATCCTGGAGATAGACAATATTCAGTAAGTTTAATTATCTGGCTGACAGATGTTCCAATCAGTCTTTCTAAAAATAAGAGTGTCTTTGTACATTATGAGAATGAAGAGAAAACAAAGCAGGGAGACAGTTAAGGTGCTGGTTAATCATCAAGACAAAACAAAGTACAGTTGGTTCTGCTACATACAGTGCTTGTTTTCAATATGAGAATTTATTCCAGTGCCATTAATATATCATAGCACAGTTTGAACATAATATGAATTTCGTGTTTGCTCGTGCATGATTTTGTCTGCAAGAAATATTAGGTGAATGCAGGAAACTGCACCCAAGCTACACAGGAATATATAAAACACACACATGCAAATACCTCAAACATCAACCAGCTACCTCAGTTCACTGTGCTACACTCATCTACATCTGGTGTTTGTTATAACTTTCCTTCCAATTTTAGATAACCTTCCATTCTGTACGTCACCATGTCTCACAGCTGCAATCCTTCTGAGTCCACTTCCATAAGCAAACTTCAGGTCTTTTTCAGGGTAAAGTACCATATCTATGGTAATCTTTATGTATTTCTTAGCTCTTAGAGATGTGTGAAACTATGTCGCTGCTCTCATTTAGGTTCCTATATCCTTTTTTATGTATTACTGATGTAAGTTTTTTGTGTGTTGCCCTAAACTTTGTTTTTCCATAAATTGTGTGGTTGTCATTATGTGATTTTCCATAGCTTAGTGATTTTTAGGAACACATACATTGTGTTACAGGACAGCTGAGTGTAAATGAAGAGGATAGGGAAGACTGGTGGAAGGACAGGGCATAAGGATACAAACAAGGAACAGAACATGAAGCATACTCCCAATACTTTTTTAATTTCAAGATTTGCCCTAGAAGATTTTCCTTTAATCTATAACCATCCAAAAAAAAAAGCATAGTCTGACACCACTAAACTGGATTCTGACAGTTAGTCACATCATAGAATAGTTTGCTGTAAATATTCAACTTCAATCTACTGTTTCGATGTCGAAACCATACAGCCTCCTAAGGCTGTCTTCCCTAACAATGTAACTATCTTCTAAACAGACTGTGTAGAGAAAGAGTAGAAGGCACCAAATCCTCTACCTTCTAAACAGAAGCACAGAGAAGGGACTGACGAGAATGTCTTCCTGCCTCCTCAACTTCACCTATTTATATCCTACTGATTCTACCAGTCTTAGTTTACATCTCACTTTTTCTATGCAATCTTCTCTTATCATCTCCTCTAACTACTTATGTACATGTTTACATTAAAAATTAGTACAGCAGTTGTTAATTACTTCCCACCACTCCTTCAACACACCTGCATATGAACACACACCCATCTGAGACAATGGCTGATTCCAGCTGTGATTCTCATGACTTTCAGGGATCTGTACATGTGTATACAGGTAGGGGGAGGGGTGTGTGTGTGTGCACGTATGTGTGTGCATGCATGCGCGCAGAGGTATTTCTCTGGTCCTGCAATTTTGTCTCATTGGCTAGACTGTGAGCTGAAAGTCAAACGCAATTCATTTTTTTCCCCTAAAGTCTGTTAAGCGTAAGGACACTGCTATGCTATATGGGGTCCATAGGCAAGATCTTACTTTAAGGTGAATAATTAAATATATTAGAATTCAGCTGAGAATCATTAGCCTATAAAAAGGAATCACTCCTCCATTTCCTTCTATATAATATCACAGGGAAAGAAGGATTGGAGTAGCAAATCCTATCAGTTTTAGCTTTAACATGCATCAAGAATCCAACCACTTCTCACAAATTCCCTTCTATTCCTTTGGCCAAGCTACCATCAATGTATTTTGCTTAAATTACAGCAGTCAAAGCAGTCTACTTAGTCAGCTCATGCACTCTTGTGCACAGAATTCCCGAACAGCCCCCATTTCTCCTAGAATATATACTAAAGCCCTTACAATGGCTTACATGGCCCTTCATAGTCTGTCTCCACCCTGTGCCCCCAACTGTCTCACCTTACCTCTTTCTGCTCTCCACATCCTTCCTTCCCTTTTCTCTTGCTACACTGGCCCTTTTCCTATTCTTTAAATATGCCAAGCACGCTCCTATCTTGGGCCCTTTATACTAGCTGTTCCAGGCCCCTTATACATTCCCTTCCTCTTCATATCTGCAAAGCCCACTGTTTCACATCCCTCTGGCCTTTGCTCACTATTACTGTTTCAAGGAGAACTTCCCTAGATGCCCTACATAAATTGGCAACTCCCACTTGTGCCAGTCCCTTTCCTACTCACACAGCTGAATTATTCTCCACAGTACTTTGTCGCCACCTGCCATGTCATATAATTGTTTATGATCTCTCTCCCCACACTGTAATGTAAGTTCCATGAGGACAGGGACTTAGTTTTAGTTTCCTGCTATATACCTACTGGCTCTATCAGTGTTGGTCCAGAGTAGGTGCTCACTAAATTTCTGAATGAATTTGGAGTATATGATAAGCAACATTATTTATAACTATGACCTCAAAGCATAAAATGATCTCTGCTTGGCATTCCAAGGAGACACAGCCTATATCAAGGTTATCATCAAAGTTATGTCTGAAGGAAGAAATCATATAAAATTATCAAGGAAATTAGTTCAACCATTGTGGAAGACAGTGTGGCGATTCCTCAAGGACCTAGCAATAGAAATTCCATATGACCC